TTATTTGAGTTGAAATGTGCAAATCTTAAATTACTTAGCTTATAATTAATATAAATTAATTTATATTATATATTATAAATTATCGTATGCTATAATATCATAAAAAAAGATTCTTGTTAGTATACGAAATTAAGATGGAATAACTTGTGTTTTCGAATATTGCAAGTAAGTCTGTCTAGAATGCAGAGATCTATATTTGCAAACTGATATTGTATCTTCCATGTCTAGATATCAACATGGATATTAATGCTAAGGACTCCTTCAGGGAATTGGAATTGCTGATACAGATACATTCTCTGTATGAGCAGATACACGGCAATAACTTCTTGAAATGTCCGTAAATTTCAATTTTGAGAAGAATTAAGTTCTGCATTGAAATTGCAAGGCACAGTTTCCAAACCAGAAGAGTTCAGTGGAGCATACGGATTACACACGGTAAGCATATGGATTTCAAACAAATGCTTTATACGTCATTTGTATACTCAAATTAATCTTGAAATTAAGTTTAATTTTTATTTTAATTTACAAGTTTGTTCAAACAATACCTTACTCCTAAACTTAGGAACATTAAATAACGTCGATTTTTATTTCTTTTTTAACTCATGGAGGATCGATAATAAAGTAAATAACACGTTCAAGACACTTTAAAATTAAATACAAGAAAAGTAATGTGGAATTCGTATGACTTTAAGAATTATTTCGTTCCTTTTATAAAATAATCTACACGGAGAAAAGAATTCTGGTGTAATTGTCTTCTTGTTTACGATTGACAATTCTGGTAAAAAATAAATAAAAAAAAATGAGAAAAAAGAAACATAATTCTGTTTAATAAAACCAAAATTTACGGTATATAAATCATTCATTCAGTAATGTTTACCGTTTGTATGGCAACAGTTTACCGAAAATTCTGGATTTCAAAATTAGTTCTGCATCTTTCTCAGGGTCAACAATCTAGCACGGTAAAAATATATTGAAACAGAGAAGTGTTAACTTTCATACTTCAATTTATTTATTTTCATTCCTGCGTTTTTGTTCAATTTCTTGAAAGACGTAAAAAAAGTAAATCAATAAAAAATAATAATCATAATAATAATATCCCTCAATTTAATTCAAATTCAGCGACTTTTGCCAACAGGTGGCACCACTTGGTAAATTCAACTGAATAAATGGTTTTTATTCCATGTTCTAAGTATCATCGTATGCGGCTAGGAATGTTTTCCTAATATAACGTTTTTAAAAGTACACGAAAAAACATTTAAAACTACAGAAGAGCCCTTAGCTGTGCATATTTTTATCAATTTAAATAATTGCTCATTTTTATTTAAGTTTTGCACCACTTACAAAATATTAACAAAAAAAAATATTTTGTATGCATAAAGAAATATTTAACTAAAAGAGGAAATGAAGTGAATTAAAATATAATTTGTGAAATTTTGGACAAGCATTATTTTTCAATATCAAAATACACTGTAAAAAATTTCGAATCAAATTTCGGTAGTTCAGAGTGCCTGTACTTTTTGCCAATAAAATCCATTTTTATGGAATAAAAAAAACTGATATACCGTAAATTTTACAGTAACAATAACCGCACAATCACTTTAAATAAATATTACTGTAAAAATTCGTAATTTTTACAGTAATAATAACAGCACAATCACTCTAAATAAGTATTACTGTAAAAATTACTGTTTTTTATTCTAAAGTAAAAGTGGATTTTACAGTAACGGATACACACCCAAATTGTATTATTATTAATTTATACACGCATAGTTATACGGATGATGCACCCAAAGTATTGGTACTTTATACCATACTTTGATCCGGAATTTTTTATTGTTCCTTAAAAAATTATTCTTTTTATAAGATAAAAAAATTGTGACAACAATTTTCATTCAATAAAATAGGGCAAGTATTGAAAATTTTGTGAAACAAGTCTGCAATCTAATGGGGAATCTAAAATAGATAACTGATTTAATAATATTTATTCTCTATGAGTAAAATTTTTTTTCTCCATATCTAGTAAAATCGTTCAAGAAATAAAATTATAATGTAAAAACCAAGCATTAAGTTCTTGTTTTATAAAACGCTCTGAGCAATATAATGTTCTTTGTAATTCTAAATCTGATTCAGAAGACAGGAAAGCATTTGATTGAGGATTCAGCGTCATACAGAGAAATTAGACCCGAGGGGTAAAGGGGACTTTCGCCCCCTAAAATTTTATAAATGGAGAAACATAGTCCCTTCTATGATTACAATTTTTAATTTAATTTTTATGTAATTAAGTTTACTATTAAAAGAATACAATTTTTTTTTGCATCTGAATTCTAAGAAAAAATTAAAAAAAAAAAAAAAGGAATATTTCAAGCGCGATTTAGCATTTCCATGGTAAAAGCTCTTATACCAAATCATCCCTTACTAATCCCCCGTAGAGGAAATATACGCCCCTACTGCTGTCCGTTGGGAAAATTCTTGGTTTTAAATGCGACAGGGAGCGGAACTAAAAAAAACAATGATATATACAAACTTCCCATGCTTCCTAAAACTNTATATATATATATATATATATATATATATATATATATATATATATATATATATATATATATATATATATATATATATATATATATATATATATATATATATATATATATATATATATATATATATATATATATATATATATATATATATATATATATATATATATATATATATATATATATATATATATATATATATATATATATATATATATATATATATATATATATATATATATATATATATATATATATATATATATATATATATATATATATATATATATATATATATATATATATATATATATATATATATATATATATATATATATATATATATATATATATATATATATATATATATATATATATATATATATATATATATATATATATATATATATATATATATATATATATATATATATATATATATATATATATATATATATATATATATATATATATATATATATATATATATATATATATATATATATATATATATATATATATATATATATATATATATATATATATATATATATATATATATATATATATATATATATATATATATATATATATATATATATATATATATATATATATATATATATATATATATATATATATATATATATATATATATATATATATATATATATATATATATATATATATATATATATATATATATATATATATATATATATATATATATATATATATATATATATATATATATATATATATATATATATATATATATATATATATATATATATATATATATATATATATATATATATATATATATATATATATATATATATATATATATATATATATATATATATATATATATATATATATATATATATATATATATATATATATATATATATATATATATATATATATATATATATATATATATATATATATATATATATATATATATATATATATATATATATATATATATATATATATATATATATATATATATATATATATATATATATATATATATATATATATATATATATATATATATATATATATATATATATATATATATATATATATATATATATATATATATATATATATATATATATATATATATATATATATATATATATATATATATATATATATATATATATATATATATATATATATATATATATATATATATATATATATATATATATATATATATATATATATATATATATATATATATATATATATATATATATATATATATATATATATATATATTTATATATATATATATATATATATATATATATATATTGGCGCCATCACTCTCGTTGCAAAGTTAATTTGTTAATTCCTTTATTTTTTAAAGTAAGCAACTTATATTCGTATAGGTAGAAAGAAAGCATGCGTAAACATGTTTGATTTAACGAAACAAGAGAACAACATGCTATAAATAGGAATAGTATAGGTCAGGCTTGGGTTCCGAATAAAAATCACTTGTTTTTCAAACCTGCGTCTACATGACAATACGAGTCTTTGGTCTCCCGATACTTTCACTATGTTATATGAAATATCTATAAGAGCTTTTGTCATTTGTTTTAGATACTATGGTCGAATAAATATTACAATGCGCTAGTTAGGTATAAAGAAATATTCCTTGGCATGAAGATGCAACTTAAAATTTTATTATACAAATTATTGACTTCCAATGAAATTCTAAAGGTATATAAATTACAAAAAAACTATTCATCATAAATATTGATATGATAATTTGATATAGCAAATTATAGTTATTATATTATGTTTTAACGCAATACGCGTAAAGAATTACGGTAGAAAGTATTGACTACATGGGTGTATCGTCCGTAAAATCCATTTTAAGCATAAATATTTATAACGTATTGCAGTAATAATTATTAAATTAAAGCAATTCAGTGATTTCACAGTATATATTACAGTAAATTACATTAGTAGTTATTAAATTAAGGCAACTCGGTGATACCTCAGTACATATTACAATAAAAATTACGATATATAAGATTTTCGCTAAGTAAAATTTTCAATAAAAAGGGATTTTACGGTTAAATGCACCAGAACATGGAGTCCCGGTACTTTTTACGGTAATTTGATCCGGATTTTTTTACCGTGTATACCATTATTCAAACAGCTTTAGAAGTTTGTAAGCATTTCCATAAGAATATATTTTTTGAGATAGGTTATTCTGTTACTTACTTATAAATTTTATTAGAAAAATATTTTAATGAAAATACTTAATTTTTAATTGATAAACTCTGAAAATTATAATAAAAAGGGAGTAGAAGACATAAGTTAAAAGCAGGTGAAATAGAAGAAGCATTCATATAAAAAATATTATTCATCTTCTTAAAGTCATATTTTTTTTCTTTCTTCTTAAAACAATGAATTGAAAAAAGTAAATCTCACCTCAGAAGAGATATAAGATTTCTTTCATTTTCTTTTCAACCTGTCCCGCTAAAGTCAAACAATTTGTTCACCACTTATCATAATGATACCAAATTGCAGTGATTCCACTAAAGTTTTTCCTATTCCTCCAAACGCTTTGAGAGAAGTTGATAATTTTCCCTCCGATCAGAAGTCGAAACGATCTTGTTCTGTGAGCTTCACCGCATATCCCGAAAACTGCGTGGGTGCACCCCTTAAAATAGCGACCTCTAGTGGATAGCAGATACAACTGTTCTACTGTCCCACAAATTGAAATAAAGTTGTTTCTTTTAATTGCATCGATAAAAAAATTCCTGCTCAATGAATCCTGTATTCCTTTCTTTTGCTTTGATTATTAAAATGAGTCATTTAAGAAAGGGGATGATGAAGGGGAGGGATTCAGATCGAATAGCAGACCCCCTCTTCAATAATATACCTGACATCTCAGAAGGCAACAGGTGCTCATGGTTGTCATGGTAACCAGATATGCCAGCTCAGAATAAAGAACTGAAATGGGGTTGCTTTTCCAGGGATTTAAAGCCTGCAGTTTCATAATTTAAAAATTATATATTTTTTTGGTTTAGTTTAGGAGTATGGAAGTTCATAAAATTTTAATGACTAGTCCATATTTAAAGATAGATTAAATGTATATTTTTTATGAAAATTTCCGTAATAATGCAAGCTAATTTTAGAATAAGTCAAAAAATTATGGTACAAAACGAGATTTAGGTTAACAAATTACAAAATATAAATTTTAAAATCACACGTAGTTCTTCTTTTTATAATTACAAATTTTTATGCGACAGTAATGAACCCTATTATTTATGTTATTACGAGCCCTGTAAGAAAATTAAAATATGTTTGCGAAGATTTCAAGAATTTCCAATAAGTTCCTCGCGAAATTAAGGCGAAGAAAGTTTATCTATACTATATATTTTAAATTTCAAATACTTATGATTTTAATATATACTTTAGATTTCAAATCCTACCAATATGACTAATAGATATTAAAGTAATTAAAAAAAACTGTACAATGTCAAAAAGAAACGGGCAACCGGAATAACTCTTGATCCAATCATTGGAATTTCACGAAACTGGGACTCAATCTTAATGGTTCGAGAGGGTGACCTCAAATATGCCAATTAATTAGGGCAGACGGTATATAGATTACAAAATCAGACACAAAGATGAACTTTTTCTGAATATACACACCCTATTTTGATGGATTTAGATTTCAGACTACAAAAATATAGGGGGTAGCCGCGATCTGGGAAATATGTTCTCAATAATTTGGCCAGGAGTGCGATCGAAAGTTTAAACCACTTAATACTCATTTTGTTTTTTGCGGATTTCGTCTTATCTATAAAAAATTTTAAGTGAATTAAGAAAAAATTCCCCTACAATTATAAAACTTACTTATTCGAAGATATTCCCATGCGAAATAGAATTTTTAATAATTTATTATTACTTAGTTTAATATTAGTCGAAAAAATGAAAACTTTGGCATACAAATTATCCCATTGTTTTTAAAAAATAATTTTAAAAGACAAAATACAAAATTTGAACAAAATTGATTGATTAGTTCCTGAGAAATTGAATTCCAATGAAGTTGTGTATTTGAAGTTCGTTTTCTATGTGTATTCAGTGACATATACGTCGAAATTTCAAAAACAATCTCATTTAATGCACCTTTTCTCAATTTCGGGTGCATTCGAAACTATAATAAGCACTAGACTTGTTTGGAAAAAAAATTTAGTTTTTAACTATCCTTTATTTTATGTGGAAATAAATACTTATTTTTATTAGCTATAAATTCCCATTTTGTACAAATTTAATATGCACTAAATTTGGCATTGGTGTAGTTAAAAGAACCCATTTGATCATTCGACATTTAAATAATCACTTTTTAAGAGGTCTTCAGTTATTTAATTTCAAAATATTCATTACACATTCACTCGATCCTTAATAGATCTTCAATACCATAGACATTCTCACTCAAAATATAAGCTTTAATTATTACGATTTTGTATAGTAAAGTTCCCACTTAGAAGTCCGACTTAGTTACTAACATACTAAGAATTTGTAACTTAAAATTAAACATTCAAATATATTTCATTCATATTAATTAAATATCAATTTAAGTACCTTATCTCGAGTATTGAGATTATCTTTAATTCAATTTAAGCACGTCTTCACCATTGATTATTATTTGCCACAAACTATATATAGCTAGCACTAATATTACTTTTCAAAATGTAATACGTCAGTTAAATTACTTAACAAGATGTCTAGACATTATTTAAGTATGTAAAATAGTTACTATTAACGATTTCAAAACTTGAACTTAATTATGGGAAAATGTTTCAAAAATACAATGCCTAATATATTGAATTATGCATTCTAAAGGTCTAGTTGTGCTTTGGAAAGAAAAGAAACTGTTACAACGAATTTGATAGATTGGTTTTTGTTCGTAAAGTAAGATGATTCATATACCAACACGCATCACGTGTGCATTAATTTTAGTATTGGGTGGTTTTTATGTATAACTTTTCATCTGAATTTACGGGTTATGACCTTTTATAATAATAATGCGGCCGTAACATTAAATGAAGAAAATACATAATGACAGTTGAGCTTTTTATTGGATGCATAGACACTCCTTTGACGATTCAGCAATCCTTGATCTGTAATTTGTTAAAGAACTATGTACTGTATTTTCTTTAAAAAAAAGTGTTGAAAATTTTAAAATTCTGCCCTCTAACTGCATTTATGAGAACTGATATTCATTCAATCAATTATTTTCATAATTACTTAATGCAAAATTTTATTCTTTTAACCTAATCTCTGACGGAGAGGGTAAGTCTCTCTCTATCTCTTTCTGCATAATGTTGGCAACTATGTTCTATTGTTTTAATTTTATTTTATAACCGTCATTGAGCAGTCGACCCAATTTAAAGTTTAGGACTACAAATGCTCAACTCCGTAGAATAGTAATTTTGCACACAATTCAGAAGACAAGGGAACCACTCACGTATTAGGAGAAATTTGCCTTCGTAGAGAGCTTTTCTGCTGGAACTAAGCAGCATTTGAGTAACATGGGGAGGGAAGCCATGAAAACCCTCCACAATTAGCCTGACGGCAAGAGTACTTTAATCCATGATCCATCTACCACTGAGGATCTCTGTAGTCAGCTCTGTGGTCGGGGCAAGCCGGGTGTGGATTTTGAATCAACCAGTCATCGCTGGAATTCGAGCCTGGTTCGCATTATTGAAAGACGAACTGCCCATCCCCAGAGCCTTACTTTTTACTTGGTCTCGGATAGCCCAGTTGGTAGAACGTTGGACTCGTGTTCGTGAGATCGTAAGTTTGAATCCAACCGGTTGAAGAATCCCCGTGTATTAAATGGTTATTGGTGCACGTTAAATCTGTCGGGATCACATAGTCTTCCAAGTTCTCATAACAAATCAATACCTCGGGGGTACTGAATTGGAGCAGGTCAAAATTACGATCTATGTATGAATGAATGAAGTATGAATGAGTCCTTCCTGTAAAACGGGCTGTGACATAAATGTGATAGAAGTAGTATTGTTGACTAGGATTTAGAAACTGAAGAACTAGAAACGCCCCTTTTGCCTTGAAAATTCGCTTGGTATCAAGCAGGTTTCCCGGTAATGACAATTGGCATAAGTAACTACAACAACAGCTTTTTTACGTTCCTTTTAACGTACAATTGTGTTTCGGGCCATAACACTCTTTGTAATTACAACTGGCACCTCAAGGTCACATTTTCTACTTTCGTTATCTTGGTAGCGATGTGACTGGTAGCAACGCTACTCTTTCATAATATTATAATGATATTAACACACTGAAGTGGGAAAAAAGCGAGATTTGTGGATAACATTGTAACGGAGAGGATAAACGTGGATAAATCACATAACCTTGAAATGCCTATTCCATTTACAAAGACTATAAATGTTTCGTATATTGTTTTAGTTCTTTCGAAAAAAAAGTTTTTTTCGAGTGAATTTGAGCGTTTATTTTCACAACATTAAAATAGTTCAGATCATTAGGTAACTTCTGATCAATAAATGGTCATGTCGTAAAAAATTAGCATTCTTGATACCTTCTTTTTTTGCTTTTAAAAAGGGTTCAAAAGAGAAGATGTCTTAATTGAGAGAATCTCTGGTGATTAGTGTGCCAAATTAAAAAGGAAAGTTTCAAAATTTTGTTCTCAAAGACGCAGTTCATACAGGCCACCCAGTTGAGTTTGATGAAGATTGACTTAACCAATAGAAATGAAAACAACCAATCAAACAAAACAAACTTAACAAGCGACTAAACCAGTAGAAATGAAAACAACCAATCAACCAAAGAAGCCACTAAACCAATAGAAATTAAAGTAACTAACTAACCAAAAGGAAAAAGAAAGCTAACAATCGACTAAACCAATAGAAATGAAAGTAACTAACCAACCAAAAATAAAATTAACAAGCGTTCACTAAATAAAATAGAATTTTCAAAAATGAACATTTTCTCATTCTCAAATGATATTTGTACTGTTAAAATAACAAAATTATTTGGTAAAAATATCAAATTTTATTACATTTATTACCTAACAGATTGATAATAAAACCATATTTTATTTGCAATTTTACTATAAGTCATTAGCAAAGAGCTGTAATAAAAATGACGGCACTTTTTAGTATTCCAATTGAGCCAGAAAATACGGATTTTACCATATTCTTGTAGTTATGACCATAACTTTTTTTTTCCTGTGGACCGTGACGGTTTGTAAATAAAATCGCAATTATTATGCTAATAATTACTTAAAAACTGCTCAAATCATTAATGTTCAAGCTTATTTTATCGTTCAAGGATGATGAGAAACTTTATTTAAAACAAGATTAGAGCAATGCATATTTTTTATTCATGGTTTCTCAGAACTGCTGCATTCTTTTCTCCCTCATTTTGTCTGAAATTGCTCTTATTAATCGATAAGGTTTAGTCACATTTAGAAAAAATGAATATATTTGATAATCTGCGACCACATTGATGAGATTTGAGTCAGAGACGTAAATACATCTACAATTTTAAATGAGACAGTCGCATGGTTTGGGGAGCTCCCATTTCACAAGGAAGATTCTATTTCGCATAGTTAATAACATTTACAATAATAGTTTCTAACCGTAATAATGCTCTCTT